GTACATGGATCGAATCCTGAACATTCAACATATATATAAAACAGCCCAACATCTTTCACCTCGGTTTACCTCGGACCGGGGCCATCGTGTTGGTATTGATGCATATTCCACGTTAATTACTCCTTAAATCAACCTTAATCCTCCTTAAATACATAATCCACATAACAACAATAGTGTTGGGATACAGAGTGACCCAACCCAGGGAGCAAAATACTCTGTCTAATTGTTCTTCAACATATCCTTCAGCTTGTCTGATGCTCCCCAAGTGTATTTATGCCCTTGAAGCTCAATATCATGCATCTGCATTAGAGAAATAAACCCATTGAAGACACTGAATGAGGATAGCAGCCCAGAATTCCCACCTTTCTTGTCTTCTGGACAGGTGATCTCTTTTCAGTCACCACCAATGTACCAGTAAGCTCCCCATTTCTGTTGAGCCTATAAGAGAAACTGCCATTGTTCTCTCATTCTCTACTGATTAATGCTTGCATAGATAAAGGAGACCCAACATGTTTTATTATTAACTTCATCCTAGTACTCAACTTGGATGCAAAAATTTGATTTGAGGATTTGGAATATGTGGATTTCTGAGTTCCATATGAGCAGCAAGCCACCATTAATCCCCATTAGGTCTACAACAGTCCAGTTGTTGCCTACTCCAAGATTTTTACAAATTGTATTGACAATTTTCATTTATTATTTCTTTTTTGTTTCAGTGAAGAAAGCAAAAGAGGGGTGGTGGAATCTTCAAGATTCCTTACATTTGGAAAATGTAGAGGCCCCACCCAGACCTTTTCAATTCCACATGGTTGTCTTCATTGATCAAGGTGGGGCCAGTTGGGGACAAAGGCACAATATTCACAAATTGATTAGCTACCTTATCTTAGTATAATAAATAAGGTGGTCTTCTTTGAGGACAAAGACACAAAAGGAAGAAAGAAGAAAAGATGAATACAATATTCATAATGGCTTTTTCCCCCATTTTCTTTTAGTGTTTTGGTCCACGTATAGTTCCATTTCACCGGATTTTCATTTAGTTTTGTCGTTGTATCATTAGAAATATACGCTCATGCGGGGCGAATCTGATTAAGAACATTGTGCTCTCACACATCTCAGTATTATATATTATAGCCATCTTATTTCTATTTTCTTGATAAAGTTCCCTACAATCTTAAAACAGATTCCATTGAAGATGGTTGCTGAACAAAATACTATTGGCGTTGACAATACTGGAGCTATTAATGCGGCTTGTACTTCTATATCTCCTTCTGTTAATGTTCCATCACGCTGATAAACAGAAAAAATTTAACGGCTTGAACTTCAAGCTTGGCAGCAAACGATGTTGTTTTATCTTACTACCTTGAACCTTGCGAGATTTTTTATGGAAAATCATTCAAAGTTAGGGGAAAATCCAGATAGTCAAGCGGTTAGTGAGCTTGAAGCATGGAATCACTTGGATTTCTTATGTAGAAATTATGTAATGAACTGCTTGGCGGATACAATGTACAACGTGTATAGTTCAGTCAAAACAGTGAAGGATCTGTGGGAGTCTTTGGATCAAAAAATATAAAATAGAAGACGTTGGGGCCAAGAAATTTCTTGTATGCCGACTTTTGGAATACAAGATGGTTGACTCGAAGACTTTAATCAGTCAAGTGTAAAAGTTTCAAATAATCTTGCATGATATCCGGTAACGTCGAACACTTCGTCTGGCTGGAAATCGGGTCGTCTCTTTCATCCTTGTCGGTAGAACACCGAGTACCTGCAAAACCTTTCACTCCAGAAGGGTTTTCCAATATAGAGCCTCCGATATATCAAGATCTACTCAGTTCTCAAAGTAAAAATGGATAAATCGTGCTCAAATGTAAAGCTCACATCTATATATAAGATTGAGGTACCTGCTTCTAGGCAATAACCGGATAAGCTGAGCTGGCTACCCAAGACTATCCAGCCTACTCGTTCGTACAACACACAGTGTGTGTGTGTCATAGACTGTTATTTAATATGGACCAATCGAGTCGTGACACGTGTCCTTTGCACATGGGGTTTCATTCCTCTAGGATCTCCTCGAAGGCACTCATTGTTCGACCAAGTTTAAGTCAATCCGCTGACTGCTCCAAGTCTGGGAAGTGATCGATCCATCGACCAGTCGTACCGCAGGTCAATCTTTGACCAAACCCTCTATAAGTCTGGGACTAACATGTTCTCCATGCACCGGAATCCCTCTTTGGGTTGTTCTTCAAATTTTAGGCTCTTGTTCCTGCAGCTTTCAACAACAGCCATCCTGCCCGAACTCTATTCGACCAGAATGTTTTGTTCGTTCACTCAACTCGCTCGACAGGCTATTTGACTGGTTTACTCCATCTGGTGTAGTATCCCCCCTCCCTCCACTATGGTCGAGTCTGAATGCCTCGATCCAAAAGTATATTTTCGTATGTTCATCGGTTGTCCGCACGTTCGTTTTTCATCGACCACCTAATAGGTAATTCTCTAACTTTGACCTCTTTCTCTATCTCTCTGCTGTCATTTTGGACTTCATCCTCTGCCTCTGCCACTTGTCACGCCTGTTAGACGCGCCAATCATTTCTTTGTGGTCCGTGCCTCCTCGTGTCTATGCCCCTTTAATTGTTCTCAGTCGTTGGATTTCACCTTTAATCCAATGGCTAATTTTTCCAACTCTTCACCTGCCTCCATTGTTGCCTATAGGTACCTATGCATAAGGCCTTGTAGGTTTTTCACTCTCGCCATTTTTCATTATACTTGCCCTAAATATCCCAGCTTTCTATTCACGTGCTGTCGGTGCTGGAACACGCCGACAAGCGGTCCTACCCACGGATCGATATCGGATACCAAACATGTATATACATGATTTCAAATAAACCTAAGCATGCTCCTAAAGGATGAACAGAGATATACCTTTCTTCAAGGTTTCGATTCGATCTGAGCGATCTATTAGTCTGTGTCCCGACCACGTTTGGACGCCGGATGGACGAAGATCCTCCAAACGGTTGAAAGGAGCAGATTGCCTTTTATTCTTCTCTGAACCCCTCACGTTTCCTTCTTCCTTCTCCCACGTTGGTGTGGTGGCTAAAGACGTGAACTGGTCTCTTATGGTTCAAGAACGTGTGCTTATCCCTCCTTTTATAGAGTCCTTGGGCCAGACTAGGGATCTCTTAGAAGGTATAGGGTTTGGGCTCCCTACAGGCCCAAATTCTTATGTTCAGCCCAGAACACAATTTGGCCTCTAAATATTAATTCATTCCACTAGAGAATTAATATTGCACTCCCGTCCTCTCCCGAAATGAATCAGGGCTTCTATTAGACTCAATATAATTCCTCGTGTTTAAGATATCGCACGTCCATTAATTATTAAAGCTTCTGACTGCTTTAATTAATTAATATCT